TCCTACATCTTCTACAGCAGTGCCATATGGGAATCCTAACTCTACGGCACAAGGTACTAACATGGAAGACCCCAAACAAACGTCCGTGACAGAACAGACACTGAGTCAAACCAATCATGCTTCTTCAGTCTCTTCATTATCTGTCGAACAATTGCAAGATATGATAACGAATATAATTCGAGTCCAATACGAAGGCATCTCACAGAGCACTCTCATGTACTCAAAGCCTTATATAAAGAGAATCGACTGCATGAGGATGCATGTAGGATACCAACCTTCAAAGATTCAGCAATTTGACAGAAAAGGCAACCATAAGCAACACATTACCTATTTTATTGAGACTTGCAACAATGCCAGAACTGATGGCTACTTACTAGTTAAATAGTTTGTCCGCTCTCTTAAAGGAAACGCGTTCGAGTGGTACACCGACCGAAAATCAAAATCAATTGATAGTTGGGACCAAATGGAACAAGAATTCTTGAACAGGTTCTATAACACTCATCATATTGTTAGTATGATAGAATTGACCAACATGAAGCAATGGAAGGATGAGCCTGTAATCGACTACATTAATCGGTGGCGAGCACTCAGTCTTGACTACAATGATCGATTGTCAGAAATCTCTGCTGTAGAGATGTGTATGCAGGGAATGCATTGGGGCCTTCTTTACATTCTCCAAGGCATAAAACCTCGCACATTTGAAGAATTGGCTACGCTTGCCCATGACATGGAGATCAGTATAAAATCCTATGACGATAAAGGTCCGGTGGCCATAGAACCACGCAAGGATAAGAACGACTGGAAGAAGAACGACAAGTCATCAGAGAACACTGCTAAAGAATCCATGACTGTCTCAACTACCCCAGTCAAGATATCTGTTAAAGAGAACAAGAAAGATGATAAAAATTCTCACCAGTTTCAAGAAGGGGAAAGACAGCGTCCAATACTAAAGGAATTAGAGAAGAAGGAATACCTATTCCCCAATTCTGATGTTCCTGGCATATTAGAATGCTTTCTTGAAAATAAAGTTATAGAACTCCATGAATGCAAATGCCCTCAAGAGATGGGATGTGTTAACGACCCAAAATACTGCAAATATCATCATATTATCAGTCATCCAATTGAGAAGTGTTTCATTTTCAAGGAGGTAGTGTTGAATCTGGCAAAACAAGGAAAAATCGTGTTGGACACAGACGAAGTTGTAACTTTAAATCATACTACTGCTACTTTGACAACATCTGTCATGGGGAGTGCTCGTTCTCAACCTTCAAATTCTAAGGTATATGGCAGAACCATCCAATTTGGCTCATTCGAACCAAATTGACGTTTTAACATTTGGAAGAGTCTTTCCTCAGGATAATGAAGAAGGATAGACTCTGGTAACAAGAAAGAAACCACAGAAGCAACGAGCTGACATATTTCAGACTAGTCATTCTGAAAGGGGGCAAAGGAAGAAGAAACCTCAATATCACCATAAGCAGTCTAGCCATAAAAGAAAATAGGTCAAGAAAACACAGTTAACAAAACACGCTTCTATGAGCAAAGTCCAGAAGCCCATTACTTTGCAAGAGTTCTTTCCCAAAGGATATCTAGATGCGAAATTGTGACAGCTTACATGGTTTCAACTGAGAAAACGAGCCCTGATAGCGAGGATCAAGATGAAGCCTAACTTGTGAATGCAAAGGATGTAGCCATCATTGAAAAATCTGATGATGTAGAATAGTCAGAGGTACGCTTGATTCATGTGTGCAACAATTGATTTTACAGACGAGGATCTTCAATTGGGTTCAAAGCCACATAATTATCCTCTCTTTGTTTCCGTTTACATAAGAGAACAAAAAGTTACTCAAATTCTTGTTGATGGTGGATCAACAGTGAATCTTATGCCAAAATTTACAATGAAAAATATCACAGTTGACGAGTTTGGCATGAGCGAATGGAAGAAGCATTGTGGGCATACTGCACTACGCATCATACACCTACTCAAGCAACTCCGTATTCCATTGTCTATGGCGTAGAAGTGGTTCTTCTATTGGAGCAATAGATCCCTTCGTTAAGGATTGCTATATAATAAGGCCTTGCAAGTGAAGAAAATGCCATCTTACATCTTCAAGAACTGGAAGCATTGGATGGGAAGAGATTAGAAGCTCAACAATAGCTAGAGTGTTATCAAGCTCAACTTTCTAAAGCGTTCAATAAGAAAGTTCGACCTCGGTCATTTCAAGTTTGAGACTTAGTATTAGCTATTCGTAGACCAATTATCATGAATCATCGTAAGAGAAATAAATTTGTATCCAAATGGGATGGACCATATGTTGTTCACGAAGTTCACACTAATGGCGCATATCTCATTATTGATGAAGACGGAGTAAGAGTAGGGCCCATTAATGGCAAGTTCTTGAATCGTTACTTAATGGAGTAATGGGTTGCGGAAAATGAATATTGGGGCTATACGGAGATTGGAAAGCCTGCTTATTGTGCATTATAGGTGGTGGTGGCATATAACATTGATAATGTACACATTCAGCTTGATTTTCATTGCCCTTCAACAAATATTGTATACTTTTGTTAGGTTATAGTATGTTGCATCGGCGGTTGGTGCCAAAGTTTCTATTACTGAAAAAGATGTTGCAGATGAAATCAAATATTGGAAGTCGTTTGTTATAGGTTATGTGATGGGTAAGCGACCATATTACCCTCATTTCAAAGTGTTCATTAAGAAAACTGGTCTAAGGCAGCTACATTGGTTTATTTGAAGAATGGTTTCTTTATGGTACGTTTTTAACATTCGGCTGATGTCCAAAAAGTTCTTTCACGTATTCATACCTTTGAAAGGCGTGTGATCATTATCAAACAATGGAGCAAGAATGATGTTCTACAAAGGGAGGATTTTGACTCGTTGCCAGTTTGGATTCGTGTCCATGATCTTCCTGTTCATTGTCAAAATAATGCATCCCTCTCTAAGGTATGTTCTTTGTTCTCGAAACCAATATATATGGATGATCCTTCTTTACATCAAGATAAAGGTCAATCTGTTCATGTCATGGTATAGGTGGATGTTAGGAAAGAGTTACCAGAGCTATTGGTGATTGATGTTCATGGTGAGGACTGCACTGTCAACATTGAATATAAATGGAAGCCTATTGTGTGTTCATTGTGCAAACGGGTGGATCATGTAGCAGAGCGTTGTCCTTAAAAAGTTTTAAGTAAACCTAAACCTAAAAAACATATTGGGGATAGGTGGGTTGTGAAACAGAAAGCAAAAATGGTGGATATTGTTAATGCCCATCAAGTGTATGTTCAAAAGCCTGCAAGACAAGATGAAATCCCACTTGTTAATGTTAATACACATAACTCCTTTGCACTGCTTAAACTGGATGTGGATATAGAGTCTGCTTCTAAGAAAGATGGATGTATTAATACCGAGGTGATAAAGGAGGTGCCTGCTTTAAGGAAGGAATTGTCTAGTTTGGAGGATACTGCTGAGGTAGAAGTGGCATTAACAATATCCACCATTTTCTATACTGAAGCAGTTACGAATCTTGTAATTCACAATGTGGAGGCTACTGATAAATTGTTAGCATAGGTTTCTATAGAAAATGGACCAACTAATGGCTCCAATGTAATTCATAATGTGGAGACTGCTGATAAATTGGTAGCAGATGTTTCTATAGAAAAGGGACCAATGATGGTTCTAATGTTGTTGTTGAATTTGATATCTTGGAAGTAACATGTGCTGAATTGAATATGGGAGAAGCTACTCCTCAATAATCAGTCCTTACAGATGATAATTTAAAGTCAGAACTGGGAAAGAAATCTAAATATCGAGCTTTGACTGCTTCTGATAGGGTTACTAAGAGTAAAGTGGGGGTTTCTACCCCAACCTCGACTTCTAAATGATTGGTTTTTGGAATGTGAGGGGCTTGAATAAGCCCTGAAGACAAAGGGAGGTCAAAAATTAGATATCTAAGGAGGCCTCTCAGTTTATTTGCTTTATTGAAACTAAGGTGAAAAAAGATGCTTTTGATTAAATTTCTAGAAGATTAAGATTTAACTGGGAATGGCTATACAACTATGATGCTCATGACTATGGTAGAATTTGGATTGGCTGGAACCTTCTTGTTTTTTCTGTTCAAGCTATTGATGTGAAAATTCAGAGTATGTTACTCAAAGTGAGAATTATAGCGGCTGGAGAAGACTTCCTTTGTACCCCTGTGTATGCTTTGAATATAGCTAAAGATAGAAAGGATCTCTGGGATTTTATATGATAATATTCCAATATGGTCACTGGTCCATGGATGGCCATGGGAGATTGGAATGCCATTAGATTCTTTAGGGACAAGAAGGGTGGGAGAAAGGTTCCACAGAGACTATTGAATGAATTCAATGACTGCTTGGTTCATGCTGGTCTTAGTGAAGTGCATCCCACTAATGGTGATTGGTCTTGGTGTAATAGGCAAAAGATCTTTAAGAGGATTTTTATCAAATTGGATAGAGTTTTCTTGAATGAGGCATGGCTGGATAAATTACCTGGTACTAAGGAGTTATACACAGTTGCAGCTTATTCTGATCATTATAGGATGTCCATCCATATTTCTAAAGATTTTGCTACAGGTCCTAAGCCCTTCAAAATGTTAAAAGTGTGGTGTCTACAAAGTTGTACTCATTCAATTGTGTAGAAAGCTTGGGATAATGTGGTTGGTGGTAACCCCATGCATATTCTTTTGAAGAAATTGAGATTAATGAAGAATGATATTAAGGAGTGGAACAAGAATAGTTTTGGAGATGTGGGGGAGAAATTAATTAAGGCAAAACATCATCTTGACCAATCCCAATTGAATCTGTTGAATGCTCCTACTGACACTAACTTTCAAATTGAGCAAGAAGCTAGAGTTGATTTTCAAGCTGTTGCTGTGGATTAAGAGGTTTTGGTTGCCCAAAAGTCTCGAATTCTTTGGCTGAAAGATAATGACAGATGTACAGGTTATTTTTACAACAAAATGAAGCAACATAGGAACTTCAATGCTATAATTGCTGTAGAGAAAGAGACAGGTCAGACTACTAAGGATCATAATTTAATCAGAGAATGGTTTGCGGAGTTTTATCAAAATTTGTTTTCCAAAAAAAACTGAAAGTCTTCCAGAGGTTATTACTCCTGTTAAAAAGCTTAAAGTTGAAGAGGTTGAGGCTTTTGACAAGATGGTTAGTGCTGAAGAGATTAAGGGAGTTATCATGAGTTTTAATCCAGATAAATCTCCAGGTCCAGATGGATTCCTTGCTCAGTTCTTTCAAACTTTTTGGTCAGTTGTGGGAACGGATGTGATTGCTGTAGTTCAATCTTTTTTCAGTACCAGTGTTATGCCTATGGGTGTCAGTAGTTGTTTTCTTACTTTAATCCCTAAGGTAGGCAATGCTAAGAAGCTTGGTGAGTTTATACCTATTGCCTTATGCAACCTATTGTACAAGGTTATTACTAAAATTATGGCTAATAGACTATCTGTAGTTCTATCTTCTTTGGTTGGTCCTGAACAAAGTGCCTTTATGAAAGGTCGAAGAATTCAGGATGCATTGATTTTGGCTCATGAAATGGTTAAGGATTTTAAAGGTCCTAACCATGCCTCTATGGCTCTTAAGGTGGATATTAAGAAGGCTTATGATTCAGTTTTCTTTTTGCTAAAGATTCTCAAGGGGTATGGATTCAGTGAAGTATGGATTGCTTGGATATCTAATATTCTTACTTCTACTAGATACTCTGTCTTGATCAATGGTTCCCCTCATGGTTTTATTCAGCCAGGTAGGGGTCTTCGTTAAGGATGTCCTTTGTCCCCTCTACTGTTTACTCTAATTACATAATATCTCACTTCTATTATCAATGATGTTGTTCAAAGGAAGAGGCTGTCAGTCACTCACGTTGCAGCTCAAATTCATCCAGTGCTAAGTCATGTCTTTTTTGCTGATGATCTCTTGATTTCCTATAAAGCTTCAGTCTCTAATGCCAAAATCTTGGGAGATTTGTTTAAGAAATTTGAAGATTTAACTGGCCTGCAGGTCAGTCCTCAGAAGAGTAGTATTATCTTCTCTAGAGTGGTGAGGAGAAAGCAATCTATATTGAGAATTCTGAACTGCTCTAAAGATCATTTTCCCATCAAATACTTGGGATTGCCTCTATGTTTTACTGGTCTAAAGAAAGCTCACTGTCAAGGCTTAATTGATAAGATCTCTAATCAGATCAATTGCTGGTACACTAAGTTATTGTCAGTTACTGGTAAGGTGGAGTTCATTCGATCAACTATGACACCTATTTTCTTGTATTGGTGTAGCACTTACAATATTCCAATCTCAGTGATTAATCAGTTGTAGAAAATGTGTAGAAATTTCCTGTGGGGTAGTACTGATCATTCAAAGAAACTACATCTTATGAGCTGAGATTTGATTACTAGGGAAAAATCTAAAGGCGGATTTGGTTTGAGGAAACTTATGGATATTCAAGATGCTTCTAAAGTTGTTTTAACATGGGATTTTTTTACTAGCAAAGATAGGTTATCGGTGGCATGGTTCAAGAATAAATACACTCCTCACTCAAATTATTGGACTGCTATTCCGAAAGTCTCTTATTCAGCTATTTGGAAATCTGTGGCGGAGAAGAGAGATATTATGTTAGAATATGTTAGTTTCCGTATTGGAACTGGTTCAGTTTTTTCTTTTCAAGATCCCTGGTGTAATGGTTTGACAGTTGCTCAGAGGTTTAGCCATAGAGTGCTAAGGTCTTTAAATGTTCCTCGAACAGCTGTTTTGAACATTTTAATGAGGAATGGTGGTTGGGATTTGAACAGATTGCAAGGCCATGATTTACAGCAGCTTAGAGAATTTCTAGGTTCGGTGGTGATATATACTGATATGGATAAACTTCTATAGGATAATGGCAGATTTTCTTATAAGAAAGCTTGGTTGGCTATTAAAAATCATTTAGCTGAATTGGACTGGTATCAGTTTTGCTGGGGAAAAGCTAGACCAAGATGGTCCATAACTGCAATTTTTGTTTTACTTAATAGAGTACCATCTATGGTAAATCTTTAAAAAAGAAAACTCTGTTTGGTGGCTAGATATACATTATGTCATAGTGCCTTGGATACAATTGATCACTTGTTTATTAGATGCTACTTCTCACAAAAATTTTGGAGATGGTTAGGTGAGTTGTTGCAGTGGAACATGCTCCAGTTTGATACTCTTGTGTCACTCGAGGATTTATTTCATTGGTATAAGGATCTCAGTTCTGCGGGCTATCATAATACCTTGTTTACTACTGCTATGTGGGGTATCTGGCATGAGAGAAATGTAAGGTTTCATGGAAATCCTACGGATCCAAAAGTTGTTGCTAGGAGTCTATTGCTGGAGGTGTTGGATATACACAATACCTCAATTTCAGAACTTTTGCTTTAGATTCTTTTTGATTTAATGTGCTTGGACAGTGGATTGTTTTCCATTGACTCCTTGTTTTGTTTGTCTATTCCGGGGTGGATGTATGTATCATTTCCTACATAGTTGTGCTTTCATTCTGGGGGAATGCCCTCTCCGCTCCTGTACATATTTTTCTTTTCTTTATATACAAACACATTTATTAAAATAAAATATAAAAAAAAAAAGTGTTGGATATGATATAGTTGTAATAATACTAACATGGACTAATAGATATGTCTGACTACAATTACCACCTGCCACTCCGGAAACCATGTTATCATTGGCTTTCTAAAACACAATAAAATTGTGAATTTATTCAATTCAGTGCACAACCAGAAATGACAATTAAATCCTCAACATCAATGTAAAACAAGGACCACAATTATGTAAGTACAATTTGAAAAAAAAAAAGTAAAAACTTTTGGTAAATACCTCAACTATTCGTTTCATACACTTAGTGTTCTTCTTGGCATTTTTCTCATTCGGAGATTTGCGCCTCCGTATTTGTCCTTTAGATGTATCTTTAGTCTTGACGTCCATGGGGATTATTCCAGTGTTTTTTATCTCCCCATTATTTTATTTTTTACCACCCTTTGTAGTGCCAGCCAAAGTACGAGTACAACTTCTTTGGGCAGATTTTTCCATTCCATTGTTTTTACTAATAAATCATTGTATCCCTCGCTGTCTTCCGATGCAATGGAAGATATTTCAGTTAGAATACGACAAAGGGTCCTGTGTCGTTGCCTTACCTCAAGTTTGGGATCCATCAACATTTCACGGGCAAGAATCTCATCCAAGTTCCCATCTCTGGCTTTCCTAGTCCACCTTCTTAATATATATCGAGAAGGCATTTCAGTGATGTTCATGTAATCTTTAAGGATTTTTAAAATATGACTGCACAAAAATCCATTCATTTCAAAATTTACCACATAAACAAGATAATTCATCCTCAACTATTCTAGTCACACAACGTTGCATCCCATTACGGCTGGTAACTTTAAAAACACGTTGTCCATTGTTATCCATGTCACTGTAACTATTAACATTATCACTGACACAAGCTGTTAAAAACTCCTCCTGAAAAAGCTGAAATATAACTTTTGTGTACATCTCTCTCGCTTTAAGTAACATGTCACACTTTGTTTTAACTTGCAGAAGCCTCTGCAGCAAACCATACTCGGCTTCATACTCCTTGTAACGCTTATCCAACAATAGCCTATCAAAATGAGTGAAGAAATCGAGAAGAATGAGTTGCCTCGATAAGTACTCCTTCAAGCGAGCATTGAAACTTTCACTCAATTGTGTAGTGCGCATTCCCGCACACCACATATATTTAACGAATGTTATGGGCCATCTATGTCTCAAGCTTAACAAATGGTCAAGCCATGTGTTACCAACAAGATCATACACCCTTAGCATTGAATCCCATTCTGACATAAATTGTTCCTCCTCCTCAATTTCGAACATTAATTTAAATATCACATTCTTGATGCGTTCATCATGTTCAAATAAGAACCCACCATGCTTTTGTGCATTTTGTGTAATGACCCGAGTTTTTATTCAACCCGGTGCGTTAGTCATGACCCGAAACGGATCCAAGATGCGGAAACAAAAGAAGCAAAATGGCCACTAGAGATGTACGTCATCCCTAAGGCACCAAAACAACTCCCCATGAAGCCATGGAACTCAAATGAGCCAAGCAATGAAGCAAGAATGCCAAACCCGAAAAGAAATGAACTAAGGGCAAAATGGTTCTTTCACACTGAAATGGGTGCCACCGAGCACACCATTTAAAAGACAACAAAAAATGAACAAAGTTAGACTCAAGAATCGTCTAATTCTGAGTCCAAACGGAAAAGATATGAAATTAAAATAGAATAGCCTTCTCCATTTAAGAGTTACCACAAACCAATCTCACTATAACTAGAATAACTCTCACTATAGGTGGAGTTTTGATGAGTGGTTAGTGCCATTAGAAAGTTAACTTCAAGCTCTTGAGTTTAGAGTTAAGAATGACCTGATTTGGACCCGAAATGAAGAAGATATGATCTTTTGAAGTCGGTGCATGGAAACTGTCCAAAGGAAGCTGAAAAGAAAGGGTTCTAAGGAGGATCAGTCAACCGACGGCAAGGGTCAGCCGGCCGAAACTCAATCATCAGCCAGCCGAACCCCAATGATCAGCCGACCAAAATGATGTTTTTTAATAAAAGGCTACTGGAATGGCCTCGAGGGCTTTGTCAATTGGCTGATAGATCCTCATCAGCCGACTGACACATCTGCTGTAGTAGAAAAAGTTGTTGCAATGTGTGTGTGAGGTACTTAGGCCAATCCTAGGGTTCTACATGCATTCTACATGATCCAAACAAGTTTGAAAACATTCCCTAACCTCATGCAAGCATCCAAAACATGTCAAAACAAAGAGGAACATAAAATGATGTCCCAACGCATGAATTTTCATGAAAATTCATAAAATCTTCCAAAAATAGTTCCAAAGTTGAAACTTAAGAGTTTTGTGAAATGTGGATATGCACACAAACGTAAAAAGACATTCAAGAAACGTCCCAATGGTCCGCGGCTTCAAAATAACCCCAATGCAAAATATGACCTCTCAATAGCCAAAAATGCCTTAAAATGCTATAAATGAAACCAAAATGCAAAACGTAGAATGAAATGGTGTTTGGCCCTTGGCCACACCTCATACATAATCATTGGAACCCTATGAAAGAAAAAGAATGGAATTCCCACACCCGATGCAAAAGCTATGAAGCAATGACTTAGCATTTTTCAATATTTTCATAGTATTTCATGAAGTTAAAACTACATAGGATACAAGATACATGTTATTGGCCTTCGGCCTCAGTTCATACATGTCAAATACATTACAAGGGTGTACTTATGTACACATTACATATATGGAATCAAATAATACATGTTTTGACATATAAGGCTACAAATGACATTTCATGTTAACATTTACTTGAAATGTAAACTTAAAAACTACAAGTCATCAAGGAATGATGAGCATCATGAACCAAGTCTTCGTAACTGAAACAAATCCCTAGTAACTTCAGGGTGAGTAACATAAAGCTACTCGTAGGAAATGAGCGTGCATCGACTTAGCATTTTACGATTTTATCACCTTAAGGTGAAACATGTTAAAGGGGCTTATGCCACCTAACGTCTATGTCAAGATGAGACTCAAGGAGCATCCTAAGCTACCTCAGAGTATAGTCAACAAGAATCATGATACATATACATATATGAAATGAATCAAGGTTGGGATAATCCAAAGAACATAATAGGAAGGATACTTGAATATAAGTCAACATGAATTGCATTATCAACACAATTAAGCAAGGTTTGGAATAATCCATACAACACGACAAGAAGATAGTAGAATATAAGGATCACATTATCAATGCAATTAACATGATTGGAATATTCTAATTAACACGATAGGGATAATACATGAAATCAAGAACATGGCATAATATCTATGCAATTAACAAGATTGGAACATTTCTTACAACACGACAAGTTTTAAATCTTCAAGGAATAGCAACTTGAAATTTAAAGAGTGAAATCAACTAATGTGGAAACTCGGATATCCCCCAGATTAAAATCGTACTCTTGGGATCACTTTAGGGCTACTAACCCATGGGTACCTCCCCCTAGTGCGCACTATAGTGTAGGGAGCTCTCTATCTCCCATACTAGAACCAAGTCCTAACCATGTCAATTCTTGATTGATATCCCAAGTCTCAAAATCAACAAGTTGTGCAAGTCAAGATTGTATCAAAATACAAGAAATGCATTAACCACGTTTTATGCACAACCAAGATTTTGGAACACACAAGTCATGCCCTAAGTTCTCAACTATGATGGCATGTGAAATGTCAAAAAATCACAGTGTGCATCTATATAGACTAGAACCAAAATATATAGCACAAGAAATCTATTGAAGTAAATATACCACAAGTATAAGATACATGATTCAACTACTTACTAAACAACACATGTGTAATTAAACCATTCCAAGACAAATGTGCATGTTCATTAAGTACATTAATGAAACCTAGGTACAAGTGGTCACGATGCTTGATAAAAAGATGAAAGTCCATGAAATACAAGTCCGATTCATAAGTTGACAAGAGTTCAATACCAAAGCATGATTAACTCGATGAAAGCATAAAGGGAAATTTAATCTACTAAAGGGATTAAATTATCAAGATCACAAGGCAAGTACAATGTTCAATAAGCGAGATATGTCAAGGATAAGTTCAATGTTAAGTTACGAGTTCATTTCATACGGGATACAACCATGTGTATTAAGTTCCATACAAGGGAAATAATTGTATATAAGTTTCGAAACTTATCCGATTATTCTTAATTTGATACACGTGAAGGAACTTGTCAAGGAAAACATGAATACCAAGTTAGAAACTTAATCAAGACCAA